GTAGTAGAATTAAAATGATACTTTAGTGTTACTATAATGAAACTTGCTAGTGTGTGTGAAAAATGAAACTAAAAAGCAGAGCACATTATTGTTAAATGAAACTGTAGTATAATTAAAATGATACTTTAAGATTTCAAAAAAAAAAATGATACTTTAATTCAATATTACTATAATGGAACTAGTGTGCGTGGAAAATGAAACAAAATCTAGAGCCATACAATAACATATATTGTCAAATGACCTGAAGTGCAATTAAAATAATACTTCAACATTTCTATAATCTAAAAACATAATAAGCCTCAATTAAAGTTATATCATTGATTTATGTCCCTCTTTTTGACTTTTTGTATGCAAATAAATGTGTACATTTTACTTTAAATGTTGTACATTTCAATGTTATTAGACAAAACTACTCTTACACCGTTATAACACCGTTAGTTTTTAATTCTAATATTGATAACAAACACATCATTATTACCATACACCTATATCTATCATATCTTTTCCTATTTTTAATTATCATTTTATTAAAATTATTATATATTAATTTAATACTTAATTATATTTTAATTAAATTTTTATGAATGATAAATTATATATGTGTGTGTGTGTACAAAATACATATATTATTTGTGTATATATAATTCAAATTATAATTTTTAATTATTTGTATTTATCAATATTTTAATATTGGGCATGAATTTTCGCGCATTGCATGTACAAAATGCTAGTCAAACTAATGTGTATGGAAATTGGAAAATGAAACCAAAAAAAAAAAAAAAAAAAAAAAAAAAAAAAAAAAAAAAACTCAAGCAATAATGTATATTATCAAATGAAACTATAGTAAAATTAAAATGATACTTTAATATTTCTATAATGAAACTAGTGTAAAAGGAAAATGAAACTAAAAAACATAGCAATATTGTCAAATGAAAATGAAGTATAATTAAAGTGATACATACTTTATGCATGGTCCACGCTGCTACATAAACCATGGTGTACAGTAAAAATTGCCAATAGATGTATAAGATAAATCCTAGCTTACTCAGCTCCTTGAAAGCATTTCTCATTTAAACCCTCCCATATATATTGCATTAGTATCCACATTTTGCTGAATAAGGCTAATACAGTTGAATTTCGATCAAACCCTATTAAAAAACGTTGATTACATATAAATATTGAAAAATTACATTTTCAAGGGAAATCTCCAATTAAGTTGATTAGATGGTTGACTTGGTAAGTTCAACTCTCCGTGGGAGCTATCTATTCAAGGACGGAGCCAGAAATTCGGTTGAGGGGGGCAAAGAAGTAGGGATGGATTCAAAAAAAAAAATTCAGTATAGGCGAAACATTAAAACAAAAGAGATAATTTTAAAAAAAAATAATAAACACATCTCATTATTAATATAAAAGAATGTTATATATATGTGTGTATTAAATATTAAAAAGTTTTTAAAAACGTGACTGTGTTGAAACTACGGGGAAGGAGTAAAAAAAAAAAAAAAACCCAACTATATTAATACCAAGATTCAAACCCCTATTCATTCATCATAACTTAACATGTGCTCATCAACCAACTAATCTAATTTAACTGACATTCAATAGTTTTATTTTACTAATACTAAGTAATATACTATATATACATATATACATACAAAAATTATATATGGGGTGGGGGTGGGTGAGGGGGGCTCCCCCTTTGGCTCCGTCCCTGTATCTATTGGTCTTCTTGATTATTTACCTAAGCTAGTTTAATTTACCTACTTGTAAACCTTTGCTAACTACGATCACATATGAGTTTCATTGAGGTAGCAGCTACACGGTTTCTCATAAATCAAAGAAAAAAAAAATTACATTTTCAACACCTAAATATCTAAGTTAGTGATTGATTGTTTAAAAAAAAAAAAAAAAAAAGAAGTTAGTGATTGATTGGAAGGCACCCTTATAAGAGCATACAAAATAGGAATTGATTAATAGAGGCACATTTCAGTACTTAAATATCTAAAATATATGTCCATTTTTGAATGTTTTGAAATAATTTTTAGAATATATATTTTATCAATTTATGATTAAATTTGGATCATAGTTTTGCAAATACTGTTCATATTTCATGTTTGGTTTTGTGATAAGATGTTTGAATTTAAGCTAAGGTTGTTTAATTGGCTTCACGTTGAATCGACGAAAATGTTAAACATTATTGACATAAAATATTAATTAGGTATAACATGTTGTGTTTAATAAAATAGTAGAGTTGATATGAATAGATTCATAGAAATAGGTTTTGTTTCACTTATTTATCATTTTTGGTCCCTCTCACGGATATGCACAAACAGTCAAGCACAGTACAGGAAAAACTATTAATTTCTTTTTTTTTTGAAAAACAAAAACTATTTTATTGTTATTATTATTTTTGGGTAAGTTAGCCGGTGGACCCCATTGGACTGGAGATTCTCATTCAAGTCCAAAGGGATTAGAAACATTACGATTTACGAACGTTCTCTAAATCTCTCCTAAAAGTCCTAAGTCTTATGGGAAACAATAATTTTCACTTAATGCAAAACATGAAACACGAAAAAATATTTAAGTGTATAAAGCATGAGTATATTTATAAATATATTTTTTCTCAAAAAAAAATATTTTTTCAATATGTACTAATATTAATTTTTTTTAGTACTACTGACTCTATTACATTGTAGTATCTGTTCATTTATACTTTCTCAATCTGTTAAAACACAAAGTGTCAACACCACCTCCATTGAGGCTCGGTCTCATGACCTCTCATATGGGAGAGTCACTACATATCATCTGAGCACAAGTTGCTTGGCGAACTAATAAATTACTAGTTTTATAATTAAAATAAAATATTATAAAGGTGTAATTTACATTTCGCTAATCAAGTATAGCAATTTATATATATTTTTTAATATATAAAATGTGTCTATATATATATATATATATATATATATATATATATATATATATATATATATATATATATATATATAGGGATGATTTCTGGTGCGGAGATAGCTTCCCGTGTGGTTGTGTGGCTAACACAAAACGACGCACCTTAAACATTAAAATGCTGCACCTTAAGTACACAAACCACGCACCTTAAGCACACAAACAAAGCACCTTAAAAACACAAACCACGCACCTAAAGTTTTAAAATGGCACACCTTAAGTACACAAATCACACACCTTAAGCATACAAACCACACACCTTAAGAAGGAAAACCACGCACCTTAAGAAGGAAAACCACGCACTTAAAGCTTTAGATCGACGCACTTAAGTTTTCAACACCTTACGCACCTTAAGCCACACAGTACAAAAACCACTCACCTTAAGCACAAAAACCACGCACCTTAAGAAGAAAAATCACGCACCTTAAATTTGACCTAGATGCAAAATGATCAAATTGCCACCGCATTTTTTTAATCATTGTTAATCCTGGACGTTGATTTAGGCAAGATCAATGACTCAAATTTAACCGCACAACCGCATGGGAGACACCACACCGCACGGGAACTGAATTCTATATGTATATATAGCGTTAGGTTCCCGTACGAACAGTGCTTCCCGTGCGGTCATGTTGTCACTCACCATTAAGTACACGTAAATGCGTCACAAAGTGTTCAGAAATGCACCATTAGGTGTGGTGTAGTGTGGTACATTTGTTTTGTGTGTGGTGCATTTTCGAACACTATGTGATGCATTTTTGCATACCTAATGGTGAATCTGCACCGGCCGCACGGGAAGCACTGTCTGCATTTGAACCAGTATATATATATATATATAATTAATGAATTTGAAGGTAATGAATATTTGAATTGTAGAAAATAAAGACAATATAATTAATGAAATTATATATGTTTTTTATTTTATTTGTTTTTATAATGAATAATTTTTTTTTTAAATAAAGGCATTATAGATATCTAATTTTCAATAATCAAAATAACCAAAAAAAAAAATAACTAACCTAATTTTTTTGATTTATACAAGAAAAAAATAACTAACCTAATTTTTTTTTAAATACAAGAAAATAATTTTCAAGGTTCTTGATTTATAATCTTTGATGCTCAAGTTTGAATATTATGTATTTAGTCAGACTAATTATTTGAACCAAATTTATGCTAAATTTTATCTTGTATTTGTTTTTAACATATTCGTAATATATGTTTAAGAACTATGCCAACGTTGATTGGGATAAGGTTCGAACCTAAGACATTTCTTATATAAATTAATGAGTAAATTAAGAATAATAAATAGTTAACGAAATATTCCATTACTAAAGTTTATTCTAACGGAATGTAAGATTATTTCAGGGAAAAAAATAATATAATAGAGGGTAACTAAAGAAAATTATTAAAAAAATTACTAAAATCAAAATAATATAACCATTCATAAGGAAAATATTAGATTTATATACCAGGGATCGAGTCTCACCAGCGGCAGTGTGAGAGCAACCTCTCGAAGTGAGGGGGGCTTCTTGTGCGCAGTGAGCACCGGTCTAGCCTCTATGGTTCATGTTCAGTTGAGTCACCATGATTTACATCCTCCCAAATGCTCTGTCGGGCCGGGGTGTGGGGGGCCCTTAGGGTTGGGGTTCAACCTTTTGGAATAATATTATATATATATATATATATATATATATATATATATATATATATATATATATATATATATATATATATATATATATAACATATTACAATTACAAAGAAAAATTTCACAGAAAGTTGTCTCATACAATACATTCTTAAATCCTATAAACTGGATAAAAATATAACTTTCTCATCCAAAACATCATTTATAATTCAATTGACTAGTTGGTATGGTTCATGGCAGGCATGTCAACTACAAAGAGCCCCACCACTTAGAAAATTCAATAAACAAACAGATTCAAGATAGTGATTTGCATGACCTTTAACTTCTCACTCATATAAAATCTCCAATTCCCCACCAAAACAATATTACAATTTACAAATCAAACACCAAATCCCACAGACCAGAGGTGCAGTACCAAGGATGATTGGTGTGAGAGCTAAGCTGCGAGCAGGTTTCTGCATGAGTCGACGCACAGTGGCTCACGTTTGTGCCCGCTCGCCTATCCAGCCATACAAGAAGTCCGGTAGCCTGATACGAGCTGATGAAAAGGCAGCGCCTGAGTTTTCCAGCAAGAACAGCGAGGAGATGAGCTTCAACAGCCAAGGGTCAAAGCCAGAATCTGATCAATGCGGAGGCGGGAATAACAGAGTCATGGTTGTGGTCGATAAGAGCCTCGAAGCCAAAGCCGCTCTGCAATGGGCGCTTTCCCACACTGTTCAGAGCCAGGATACTGTCATACTTGTGCATGTAACCAAGCCATCAAAACAAGGTTCATCTTCTTAGCTTTCTCGATCTCTCCCTTCTTCTCCTCGATTGTGAATATAAACCAAAACTTATCTCTCTTTTATAAACCAAAACAGGTGGAAACACCAACAATGAACTCGACCAAAGGAGCTATGAACTTCTTTCCTCAATGAAAAACATGTGTCAAACAAGAAGACCGGGGGTAAGTATCAGTCGTCAATATTCTATCACAACTACTTAATATGATATGCCTGCCACATTAATTATGCAAACTAAAGAAAGTGCTAAAACTACCAATCTGGCCAGCACTTTGCCTCTTAGTTGGGCCGGCCCAGTGCGAATGGGGATTAGTCTGAGTACGGGTGCCTCCTACAGTTAGGGCCTGCTCAGGACACCTCATAGCCTAACCAAAAAAAAAAAAAAAAAAAAGTTCTAAAACTACATGATATAATGAAATAGGTGCAAGTAGAGATACAACTGCAAGAAGGAAAAGAGAAAGGGCCAGTTATTGTTGAAGCAGCCAAGCAACAGAAGGTGTCTCTGCTGGTCTTGGGACAAAGAAAAAGGTCGATGATGTGGAGACTGCATACCATGTGGTCCGGGAAAAGGGCACGCCCTAAGGTTGTCAATTACTGTATTCAAAACGCCAATTGTATGACAATAGCAGTTAGGAGGAAAAGCAGGAAACATGGAGGATATTTGATTACCACAAAGCGTCACAAGGACTTCTGGCTGCTGGCTTAGCAAAAAATACTTCAATCGTCTCACTCTTGCCTCTGCATCTCGAGTCTTGATGGCCTAGATACAAAGCTGCCTCGCAAGAGAGAACAAAATTGTTACGTTATTTGTTATGCACATTCCACATCCACAATCAATGTTCTAAATAGGGTAGATTCTTGAATGTAAAAACTTTGACAAACTGTCTCTATACATTTGATCTTTCCTCAAAGAAACAGAGCCAACTTTGTTTGTGCTAATGACAAAATGAATCAATTCAGACATATGGTGGGTGTGCTACTATTCACATTTAACCTATTATGGTGAGAAAAATAGCTTGCTTGTAAGCTATATGTACATTTACATTGAACTGTACAGAGAGAACACACTAAGAAGTTCTAATCAGCACTAAGAAGTCAGTCTCATCTCCCAAAATTGGCTTTTCTCTATTTGTTTCTCCTTCCTTCATTATGAACGGAGAGTGATCTCTTCTGAGCTTTTTCGTTCTAAGAAGTTTGGCTACTGCACAAACTAATTTACTTGAAGGCTCTTCGAGACTCGAAGCTATAACTAGATCTATATACAATTCTGTGCAGCTGATCATATCCAGCAAGTACTCCAGCACCCGCAACACCATAAAGCATGTTTGCTGTAACTCCTCGGAAAAGTGCTGCAAATCCTTCAAGGCGAATGATTTCTCTTAGTGCATGAAGGGCGTTACGGTACTTCACTTCCTGCCCAGAAGTTAGCATCATTCTTCTCCGCAGTGTATCAAAAGGGTAGGCACAAACCCCAGAAATAGTGGTCACACTCCAGCCCAACATGAAACTTGCAAAGAAATTGTCCTGCAAATACAAAGAGGTATAAATATATAACATTGTATTTGCTACATTTGAAAGGAGAAGAGGGCTACTAATTGTGTAATCTTTAAGGTGATTAAGCATATATAACTTCTAACACTAGAATCAAACAATCACCCACTATCATGCTGCATGAAAGGCCTTTATACGTAAGATATTATCAATCCCGATTAGCTAGCACAGAAAGATGCAGACAACACATTTAGTCAAGCAAAGAACGATTACCAATTAGGATTTTCTAACCTGTAAGGTTCCAGATAAAACAACTGGTTTTAGGGTGTCATAGATTCCAAAGTACATGCCCCGATACATGGTTATTCCTATAATTGAAACCCCAAATCCACGGTAGAGCCCAACAATACCATCACTTGACAATGTTTTCTGATAAACATCTATCAGTCCCTTGTATTGGCGTCTTCCATTAATGGGGCATTCCCTTGCATCGGTGCCCAGCCGAGTTCGAGCATAGTCCAAGTGATAAAGGAATAATGAGGTGGTTGCTCCAGCAGCACTACCTGAAGCGACATTTCCAGCAAACCACTTCATATACCCATCTTTCTCTTTTGAATATCCAAAGCAGTTTTTGAAGTAACCCTTGAATGCAAAGTTGCAAGCCTGTGAACAAGAAACTACGAAATATCAGGAACAAACAGACGTTGCCATTGCACATACAAATACAAGTTTCGAAAGATTAACAACAGCTAAATATAAATTGGACTTACAACTGCTTCAAAAAGTATACAAAATTTAATCTACAGTCGTTATGACAAATTAACTATGTGAAGCTTTTGACATTAGTTGGAAAATTAGAAAAGATTAAGGGTCAGTTTGGAAACCTGTAAAATGTTTTCTGGAAAAAATGATTTATAGAAAATGACTCATTTTTCGAAAAAAAATTTTAATTTTCTAATGTTTGGCTGAAGGTCAACAAACTATATTTTTCTGTTTGGCTGAAAGTTAAGAAATTGCATTTTTTTTTTTAGTTCATTTTCTTGAAAATGAACAGATTTTTTGTTACAAAATAAAAATAAAAATAATAATAATAATGATAATAATAATAATAATAAGTGGTGGTGGTGGTAATAATAATCCGAAAACTAGCTTGTAAAGAGATGGGAAAGAAGATAAATACAGGAAAATAAAAAATTCAAAAAATATCTTCCGACTAAAAAGCTAGGAAGAAAGGAATATTTTCCTTTGATTTTATTTTCCTTGAATACCCAAACACGAGAAAATCCGGAAAATGACCTCTAAGATGGTCTCTAAACACCATAAGTCATTTTCTGGTTTTCTAAACGGACCGTAAGATGGTCTCCAAAATCACCCAAAGTACACAGGTGATTAAAAAGATGCATGTCTACCTGGGTTGGGATGTATCGTATGACATTGGCCTGGTTACCCCTCCAGAAGGAGGCAAGACCATCCTCTCTCAAAACTCTCTGAAAGCAGTCACCAATGCCCGTGTAAGGCCTTTTTAGCTGTCCACTTTTTATCAACTCTCCCTGATTCTGCAGCAAAAGCTTTACTCTTTCAATTGGCGCTGCAGCACTTTTTGATAAGACCGCTGCTGCTCCTCCCATCAAAAAATTGACAGAAAATTTCTCTGATTGAGCTTCCATCTTCACCCACCCTTGCCCTCTTTCCTCCTGTAAAAGCTAGACAGGCAAATCAATAAATTAACCATTTGAACTTAGAAAATGTATCAGCTGAGGTTCAGAAGCAATTACAGAATTTCAAGAATTAACATGAAATGAAAGCTAGGAATCTAGGATGCAATCTGTGACCAGCACCCACTATTACCCTTTTAATTTAATTTGATATCACAGTAGAAACTCAAGACACCCTAAGCAAAAATGCTAACAAATGGTAGAAGTGAAGTAATAATAGCCTCTTACTTAATAAAAATCAGAAAGATCTAGAACAAACAATGAACAAGATTTTATCCCAAGTCTATTAAGGGATAAAAAAGAATCGTAATGGGGAGGAAAAAGGCACCCTAGAGAGGATTTATGTTTTCAAGAAAATAGTGCCTAAAAAGATTCTGGAAACAAAGGTGTCTTGCAAGAATATACACACACCCAAACACAGTCTTTAACTTTCAAAATGAGGCCTCACCAAATGGCCTATGCAAAGGAATTATACAATGGTATAATATATTAATATTCCAGTCATTTTAAATGAATCTTCAGCCTTGAATCTAAGCTTTTGAAAATATTTTGGTGTTGAGATTCAAACTCGGTTTTTCTCCCTTTCTTGAATTCTCAAGGGATGCAGAAAGAACCAACTACGGGTATAGCCATAGGGGTTTCTAGAAACATAATTAGAATTCAAAACTTGCTGGGGAAATTTACTTCAAGATTTCGATTACCCATCTCCTTCCCCCCTTTTCCCCTCAAGAAACTACATTGATTCCTCAAAATTCAAATCGAGATAAAAGCCTTAATTCAAAACAAATTGTAATCTGGCCCTCTGGGTCTTCTCTTTACAGTTCTATACATTTCAAGATAACCAATACATTCAACAAATCCATTGGCAAAAAGAACAAAATTCATAATGAAGATAGGCAATACAATATTCAATAAGAGCAGATATATGTACTATAGATATATACTATATAGATATTGAGAAATAATTACCAAAGAAGGCAAAGGGTATCCGGCGGACGGAGCGATGGAGCGGAAGAAGAACTAACCACCGAGCTTTCGCTGACGGTGGAGGAGGAGGATGAAAGCGGCACGCAAAAATCAAATAACCAATATTCAGTTTTTATACTATCCTGAATGTGGACTGTTTTGCGCGTCGTGTAAAATCTAAGTATGTGGAATCCTAACCGAAAAATTTCTAAATATTTTCTGAAAATACTCCTTGAAGTTCTGAAATGAAGATTGTGATGTATTTGGCGGGCGGAGACGATTGGTCCGACACAATCTGACGTGGGATAACCATGAGCTTCGTCCTCTTGTCATCATCATTTTTTTTTTTTTTTTAAATTCAAAAGGAAAATACTTTTTTTTTTTTTGCAAAAAAAGAAAAATACTATGGGTTGTGTTTGGTTTTAACTACGGAATCGGAATTAATATTAAATACTTGGTAATTGGATGAGTTTTAGTAAAAATATTTTGTATATTTAGTAGTAATGTGAAATTGAAATTATTATCAATATTGATGTTTGATTATTACGTATGACCCTATAATCGGAATAAAGATTTTAAAAATAAAAAATAAAAAAAAACTAATGTAATTGATCTAAGAGTGGCGATGAAGGGAGTAAGCAATACAACGAGGAGACGATGAAATGATGAAGGATAATACTGAATTAATGGGATGATACCTGATTTAAATTAGGTAATGTGTTTTGTAACTATAAGGTAATGGAGTATACCTGTGTTTTAAAGAGTTGTCAACCAAACAATGTGTATGATTTACATTCTCATTCATTTTGTCTAATCATGTGAACCAAACACACTCTTTTGTATTCTCTCATTGTTACTCGCAATTTTTACTCTTACTCTCAAAAGCTTGATGTGAACACTTTTTTAGACCACACATAATGAAAATAGCTCATTATTGTTTGTCACATCAAAGAGTAAAAGAGGATAAATTTATAAATATTCACGGTGTATATAGGAGGAATTGCACTTTTGGTCCCTCAATTATTAGCGCATTTGCAATGTAGTCCCTAGTTTTCAATTTTGACAGATTCGATCCCTCAATTTTTCTTACGTTAGTCAATTTAGTCCTTCTGTTATTTAATCCCGTAAACACCGTTTAGACCATGGATGTTTTTGGAATTTCACATACCACTGAATATATTTACCCGATTTCTTCTCCCTTCTTCCTCCGTCTGCCATTTACACCACCGAATCTTCAACCCTAGCTTTCCACTTTCCATAACTGTAACCCGTTGAAGAGAATGATGCCATTTCATATCAGAGGATGCCATTGTTAAGACAATCATGTCTTCAAGCACTATCAGTTCAACATAATGGATTCCAGAAGTGCGATATTAGTTGGTGCGACGATGTGGCTCCGATATAGATGCCGTGGAGTTATGCGAATTCAACGAAGAGATATAGAGCATGTTCACATTATGGAGTAAGTGTACAAAACTTAAACCATTTGACTTTAGTATTATAAGGGTTACAAAATACAAACTTCATTTGTTTTTGTTACTTACACTTAATCTCAAGGGAATGGGAACTGTTGGTATTTTCAATGGCTTGACTCTGATGTCTCTGAGTGTGTCTCCAAAGTGATTAGAGGTCTATTGAAGAGGTTAGATAAGGAGGAGAGTGAAATCCAAAGGCTACAAACAGTTACTAAAAAAGAAAATGGTGTCATTAAGAAGATGAAGTTGGAGTCGAAAGTTCAGTTTTTTATGAGTTTGGATTTGGAATTGCAGTTGCCCTTGTTTGTTTGAGACTGTGGATGAAAACTGGTGAACCAAGTCAAAAGCTATTACAGCTGAACTAGGATTTATAAATTACTGGTAGTGATGTAGTACTTTGATTATGTAAACTTTGTTTAGTTATTAAATTGGATATTATATTGTTTGGAATGAGACTTGGTTGAATTGAATGCTATGTGTATTTACTGTATTGAAGTGAAACTTTGTTTAGTTCCATCTAGATAATGGTAGTTCAATGGCAAGCTATGCACATTAATTCATGAATAAAGATCAATAAATAAAGATGCACAAACTGCCAAACAAGAAAAATACCAAAGTTCATTCATTCACTGGCAAAGTTTACCAAAGTGTACATATACAAAAGATGTACAACCTGCCAAACAAAAAGTCAAAGTTCACCAAACTGTACAAGTTTGAGGATACACAAACTGCCAAACAAAATACCAAAGTTTATAAATGTGTACATATGCAAAAGATGCACAAACTGCCAAACAAAATACCAAAGTTTGCCAAAATTCCCAAAAACTAGTACAAAGCTAAACTAGTACTACCAAACTAGACCAAAGTCAGTTCTACTTCTTCTTATCTTCTTACACATAGCTAGATAGGCTTGTCTATGAAATTTAGGATAGTGTCATTCCATGATTCACACAAATTATTCAAAAGCATACCAGACTTAGGAATTGAAATGTGCTGAAAAATGCCCTACAGTAGTGTCTAGCATCTCTAGCAGCTAACCACCCAGCAACCTTATCATTTAACTCCTTTAAATCCTCCCTATGCCTTTTGAATTCTGCTTATGTTGTTGATTTACACATAGTCCACAATTTCGATCTGCTTCAGTATATGCCTTGTAAAAACCATCATTTAGAAAGTTAGTATGTATATGCCTAACACAAATCTATGCTCCATTCTAGGAAACAACACTTCAACAACAAGTATCAATTCCTTTTGTTTATCTGAAATTAGTGTCCAAGCATGATGATTACTTAATATATTAAGATCATTGTCTAATTGCTCTATTATACATTTTCCCTATTATATATTCATTGTTCATTTATGTATGAGAGCAATATTGATCAATATTCTTTCATTGTGTACTATTCTTCCATCTCTCTTTTATAAATACCCCCCCTTCCCCTTTCATTGTGTACTAATTGCTCTATTATACATTTTCCTTATTATATATTCATTGTTCATTTATGTATGAGAGCAATATTGATCAATATCATTTCATTGTGTACTATTCTTCCATCTCTCTTTTATAAATACCCCCCCTTCCCCTTTCATTGTGTACTAATTGCTCTATTATACATTTTCCTTATTATATATTCATTGTTCATTTATGTATGAGAGCAATATTGATCAATATCATTTCATTGTGTACTATTCTTCCATCTCTCTTTTATAAATACCCCCCCTTCCCCTCTCACTATCAACTCTTCCCCCTCCATCCTCTTCCGAGAATAATGACCCACTCTAATTAAGTAATGCATAGCCTTGATATGAGATTGTATCATATTTCTTTGTATTTTAGAGAATATACTATGAATAGAATGAATGTAGTTAGAGCAACAATATCAGCGCATAATGGAGAGTTATTTCACGCTTTTTGAGATCACAATGCTATATTGGCCAAGAGAGATGCAAGCGAGAGAGAGTGGGGAGCTTCTACAAAGGGTGCGTTATTTCTCTTCCCAAGAAATAAATGAGGAGAGACGCGCACAACAACTGCCACGACTGCACGCGCCCGGTGGCGCGTCAGGCGTGCTTGACAGGTCTATTAAATATTATTATTATTATTATTATTATTATTATTATTTTAAAATCAATTTTGGTTTTTTTTTTTTTTTTTTTTTCTTCTCTCATCCTCTATTTCCTAATTACACTTACAAAAACTCATCAAAAATCATAAAATAACTCCACCATAGTAGATGCTCTTATATATATACATCATAAAATCTTCGAAAATGATGTTGATATTTCTTAATAATGTTACCAAATAGGATTTTTGTGTATACATGAAAACTAGAATCTAACCAATAAACTGATTGCACAACTTGTCATTTACCTCCACAATAACTCTAAGATTAGTCCATCAAAACTAAAATCATCAAAGTTTTTTAAAAATAATTCGGAGTAAATAATTTTTTTGGGCAGGGTAAAAAAGGCGCTGTTTGAGTGATGCAGTGCACGTGCTCCGCCCTCCATTGGATTTGCTTGATCGCCTTCCGTCTATCTACATTGAACAAATGGGACGACCCTCTCGCATTTTTATCTCTTCACAACCTGACATTTCATGTGTCAAACCTCTCTTCTTCTACAGTACTTTTGAACATCTATCGTATACTTTCCTTCACTGCTACGCTCCATTAATTCTGATTTTCTCACCTCAATTCCCGAGGCATAGCTCCCACTTTGTGTTGCCCCCAGAGATCGTATTCAAATATTTGGGGTTTCCGCATTGTAGAGATCCCAGTATGAGGTTCTTCATTTGAATTTGAGTGAATGGGTTTGCTTCAAAATCTTTGAGTCCAGGCTGTATTGAGTGAAGGGCAGTGTTTGGGATTCTTGATTTGGGGTCAAAGATTTGAGCTTTTCCTGATTCATCTGGGGAGTTTGTTTGTTTCCTTTTTTCTGGATTCAATCTGGAAGCCGGGTTTTGCCTGCGGTGGTGAGTTGTGGAAGGGGCCGGTGAATAATGCGGCGGCGGGCGGCCGATTATCGGCGCCCGGTTCGAAGGAGGTTCTCTTGTTGGATCTGGACGCTACTCGGAATATTCTTTGTCGCAGGTTTCGTTTTGTTTGTGTTGCATCACCTGCATGACAGTAAGGATCATGTAGAACAGCAAAATTTGGTGAGTCCTCAGCTTGAATAACTCTTTTCAACTGTTTCAAATTTTACGTGCTTTCTATTTCATTCAATTCAAAATTACTTCTTTTTTCTTCCATCCTCAGATTTTCTAGTCTAACATTGCTCATTGCTTTGGCTGCATTGGTTAAGCTTGAAATTTGGGATAATGGAACTCCTCTTTGTGCGGTTTTAGGATGATGTACAACTTGATTTCTTATATGTTTGCTTTTGCACTCATAAAGTTGGCTTTTTAAAAGAGTTAATACCACTTGGGTCCTCGGAGTATAATGGTACCGCCACTTTTAGTCTTAAACTTTCAATTTAACCAACCATGGTACTTCAACTTTCAAATTTAATCAACAGTGATCCTTCCATTAGTTTAGTAAGGGCAAAGTTAGGACTAGGGCCGGTTAAAAATTAGGAAATTAAAAAGATTATAAGTGGTTAATTTGAAAGTTGAAGGAGCACAGGTTGTTGAATTGAGAGTTTAGGACTAAATGTGGGGACCCCAACTGGTATTAACTCCTTTTTAAAATGATTCCAGTGATCTTCATATTCAATGTTTTGGTAGTGCCTGCACTTTTATGAGCTCGAGGGTTTAGCCATGGTGTTTTGAACCTTGCATCATGTATACATGTTGCCAAGGCTTCACTTTTTGACTCTGTAAGAGATTTAACTACCAGCAAGGGTGTAAATTTGCAAAACATTAACGACTAAAAGATGCAAAGGATTGTTTCAACTTGCGTTGTCCTAATTTGTACTGAGCTTTTGCTTGGTTAATCTTTATGAAGATGTGATATGGTTTTGCTTGAGCTCTATTTATATTTTTCATTTGAATCTTCAGATTTGGCTTGGTTCATTTTCAGTTTATAATTCATTTTTAAAGAACTAGGTTTAATACCGATCTCCCATGTAGCATATTAGGCTTCCTCTTTGATGGATCTCAGCGCTACACTATGCTTACTTCCCAATAGGTCACCATCCTGTAAGTCAAGCATGCTTAACCACGGAGTTTTTTGATTATCTGGTTGCCATATCCTTCTTAACAACCGGTTCTAACCTCAACCAGCTTAAGGTCTCTTTTCAAATTTAATTGATACAATTTAAAACGGTACATGGAACTTAGTCAGATGCTTCGGACATTGAATAGTGAATGTGTTTTTGAAGGTCACTAACATGTCTAAGTTGTATTGCACTTTCATTTCAAATCAAGCATCTTGCTTTACTTGGGTGTGATTATTTAACGATAGTTGGAATCTGTATCATATGATCATTTAAATTTTGATTTTTACACTTTGCAAATTTTAAAATTGTCAAATATATAAAATGGCTGTTAATGATAACTTGGATTTTTGTAATTGGCTTCGTTGTTCTGGGGTTCTTCTTGGTAAATATGTTTCTGGATTTGTGATTTTTCATATAAAAAGGTGGCTGTAGTTAAGAGGATAAGTGCCATATACATCACACTTATTTTACTTTGTTAACATTGAATATTAAAATTGACAAACAAATTGGAAGTTGCTATGAGAATCTGGACTTTAGCTTACTTATACATTTTCATATTCTCACATTTTCTTGTTCCCTTTATTAAATTGCACCTGAATTTGTGGTGTTACAGGGTGGTGAGCTATGAGGATATTATATGATAGTTAATGATTCCCATGAATTATTCAAGTAAATATATGTATCTATTAGAGTCATGGCTCTAACTGGGGCTTGTGATTTTTGTTTTGTTTTGAATGTGTTGCCAATATCTAGAGCTATACATAGCTTTGCATTACTTAAGGAATGATAATATGATGATCAAAATGTTCTTGGTCCTTCAAAAATAGGAAAATGGTCAAATAAGCCCTTGAACTTTACGCGAGGGAGCAATTAGGTTCCTGAACTTTTAAAAGGTTCAGTTAAACACTCCAACTTATAAAAATCAGGCAAGTAAATCCTATTTACTGGTAACCTATAGGTTACCACTAAAATTATGATGATGTGGCTGCCGTTGACCGTCGTACGCCACGTTGACCACCGTAAACCGCCACCACCACTGTTCAAGAAAAAAAATCGACCTAGGCGACTCCCGGTTGTCTTCTCCACGACCAGCTGTCGCCTTCTTGAAGAAGAAGAAGGCAACCACTGGTTGCCTTCTCCTGGTCGCCTCCTCCATCGGAGAAGGTGACCAGCTAGTCTCCTTCATTGGAGAAGGCGACCAAGCTGGTTGCCTTTTTCATCAGAGAAGGCGAGCGTTTGCCGGCGTTAGTCCTTGGAGTGTTGCCGGAACCTTGTGACCTGCTATTACAGGTCACTAACTGGTTTTTGGGCTTCAATGCACCAAAATAACACGTTGATGAGTTTAATTCCACATTTTAAAAGTTCAGGAGCTTAATTAACTTTTCGAATAAAGTTTAGGGGCCTACTTAACCCTTTCCTCCAAAAAGTATTAATGTCCTTATGAGAAAATGTGATAATGAAAGATTTATGTTATTTTTCTGAAATCCTAAACACACAAAAACACCCAAAAAATAGGGAGCAGAACATAATGCTTGCATACTAATACAATATACTTCATTCACTTCCATAAAAAAAAATAATTTTGAAAATGTCTGAACAACAGCTTAGCTGGCTCTACTTGAACTGTTCTTAATTTCTGTGAGTTGGGTTTCAACTTGTTTTTAGCTAGCCTATTGTTAACTGTACTAGATGAAAGCATTCAAAAAAAAAAAAAAAAAAAAACTCAGACAGTACTTAACCAAATCTATCCATGAAACCCGTATGAAAAAGAATATATAATGTAGAATATCCCTTTATTCTCAAAACACGTTGTACTTTCTCTGTCACTATGTTGCCTCACTCTTGAAATGCCTTATTAACTCTCTCCCGTTATATTGAATTTTCTGGTTTCAGGATAGAGGTTCCAGAAATGATCAGGTTGTACATGAGCGTTTAAATTTTACCCAAGAAATATCGAGTGCGGGATCATATGCCCGACAATTAACGGAGCAGATGACACTTGCCAAGGCTTATGTGATTATAGCAAAGGAGCACAATAATCTTCATCTTGCGTGGAAGCTTAGCGTCAAGATAAGAAGTTGTCAGTTTCTGCTTTCCAAGGCTGCTATGAGGGAAGAACCCGTCTCTTTAGATGAAGCGGAGCCAATCATTCAAAGCTTATCGTCGCTAATCTTTGAGGCACAGGATGTGCACTATGATATAGCGACCACTATGATGACAATGAAGTCGCATATCCAAGCTCTCGAAGAGCGTGCGAATGCGGGGTCCGTTCAAAGTACAGCGTTTGGACAGCTAATCGCCGAATCGGTTCCTAAAAGCCTTCACTGCCTAGATATTACGCTCACGACTGATTGGCTTAAGAAAATGTCGCTGCGGGATCTCGCGGATAAAACGAGAAACTCTCCTCGGTTAGTGGACAACAACTTGTACCACTTCTGCGTGTTTTCGGATAACGTGCTGGCGGTTTCGGCTGTGGTTAACTCGACCGTTTCCAACGCTAATCATCCCCAGCAGCTCGTGTTCCATATCGTGACAAACGGGGTGCATTATGGAGCGATGCAAACTTGGTTTCTCAGTAATGATTTTAAAGGGTCGACGATCGAGGTGCAAAATATCGAAGACTTGAGATGGCTGAATGCTTCTTACTCTCCCGTCGTTAAGCAGCTGCAAGAAGCGGACGTGCAGGAATATTATTTTGGCGGGTCCGAGGATGCGAATATCGAGCCAAAGCTTCGCAACCCAAAGTACGTATCTTTGTTGAATCACCTCCGCTTTTATATCCCGGAAATCTACCCCCAGCTGGAGAAGGTAGTGTTTCTCGACGACGATGTTGTCGTGCAAAAGGATCTCACGCCGCTCTTCTCGTTGGATTTGCACGGGAACGTGAACGGCGCGGTGGAAACATGTCTGGAAGCCTATCACCGTTTCTACAAGTATCTCAACTTCTCGAACCCGCTCATCAGCTCAAACTTTGACCCGCAGGCCTGCGGGTGGGCGTTCGGTGTGAATGTGTTCGATTTGATCGCGTGGAGGAAAGCAAACGTGACTGCACAATACCATTACTGGCAAGAACAGAACGGTGATGGGAGCATTTGGAAGACGGGGACCCTTCCTCCGGGCCTATTAGCCTTTTACGGGAGGACAGAGCCACTGGACCGGAGATGGCACGTTCTGGGATTGGGGTACGACCTTCACATCGACAAGAACTTGATCGAGAGCGCAGCTGTGATTCACTTCAACGGGAACATGAAGCCATGGCTAAACTTGGGGATTAGTAGTTACAAGCCTTTATGGGAACGGTATGTGGATCGCAGCAATTTATACATTAAGGGTTGTGTTAACCGGTGAAAAATGATTCTTTTTTGGCATTGTTAAACTTATTCCATCCCTGATATTGGCATTGCCATAGATTTAGGTTTAGGAAATTTTGACCTTCTTTGGCTTCTCATGAATTTTTAATAGCTGGGAGAGTAAAAATGATTCTTCTATACCAAAAGGAACTTGTTTTCAGGACACCAGGTTATGCATGAAATTATATTCTTATTATTATTATTATTATTATTATTATTTTTTTTTTTTTGGGCTTATGGCATTTGCATTTTCTAGTGAAGTAGAAAATCTTGGCTTGATTGAATTATATAGATTTATGGATTGAAGTCTTGTACTTTGTGCGGTATTGATTGTTTAATAGCTTAGTAAACCGTAAACATCACTTCTTCCTGGATTGAACCACTAATTATTGATATAATGTAAATTTGTAAGAAGAATGATTTACTTAAGAGATTGAATATCTTTCTCATATATGTTTCTTGTGTGTTATGTGTGAGAGATTGTAAGAGAGATTTTGTGCATGTAGCTCTATATATGAAGTCCAGTGATTGTGATGTATATATGTGATGGAGGCAATTTATTTCGTGCATCAGGGTGCACATTGTATTGTGCGTCCAGGTGCAAAACAACGTGGTTTTGCACTTTTCTTTTTGTTGAAAATTCTGCTTTTCTGTGTTTGCTGTTAACTTGTTAAAAAAAAATTTCATGTTTTAAAAATGTACATAATTGTATATGAGAATGTACATAATTGTATAACAGAATACACAAACTTTTAATTGTTAAAAAAATCGTGTGTTCGAATGTACATAATTATATAAAAAAAATGTATATAATTGTATAAAATAATGTACATAATTGTATACCAGAATGTACATAATTGTATAACATAATGTACATAATTATATAACATAATACACATACACTCTGTCGCGTTGACTTTCCATACAACTTAACAAAACAACGTCGTTTTGGGAGGCGCGGGGCCCACAATACTATGTGCACCGTGGTGCAGGGTATGTGCAGGGTATAACGACTATGTGAGGGATACGGAGTACAGACCGGAAGCTGACACATTGATTACTGACTGCAAATTCACAATGAAGCAATTTCAAGAGAGTGAGATCATTTACGTGCTTTGTGAGTGTAATCAATGTGCTGACTACCTAGCTAACATGGGGCAAGACAACCAGTGGGGTACATCGATTTTGATTCACCCTCCTACCGGTGTAAGAGACATCCTTAAGCGTGACGCACTAACGCCATTAATATTGCAACTGGAAGAGTTTACTAACCCTTGGGACTTTCCGGTCCCTCCTACGCACCAAAAGAAAAATATCAATCTATTTTTCTATGAAATTACCATCACTACTTACCAAGATACCAAGTATGTATGTATATATATATATATATATATATATATATATATATATATATATATATATATATATATATATATATATATATATATATATATATATATATAATTTTTTATTTTTTATTTTTGAAAACAGATACCAAGTATATTCGTAATGTTAGATTTGATTTTTCTCTTTGTCTCATTTGAAGATTTAAGTATTATTTTGACAAAGGAATTGAAATTATATTGATCTAATAGATATTGACGAAACAATTAAAGAGCTAGAGATGTTAGGTAATTATTAACTTACCTATTCACATAAAAATGAATGACAATGAAGCCTCAACTAGTAAGACATATATGTTAAAGATAGAGATAAAAATAAAATGATTAATAACAAAAACAAGTTAGAAAGTGAACAATTAAATTAAAGAAAAATTCGTAATGACCATAAAAGAAAATATATATTACTTGTTTTGATAATACATCAGATCAGGAAAACAATATCATGTTGAATTGTTGATAAACATAAACAAGCTATTAAAAACATATACATAATAGAGTAAGAAATAGAAGAATACAATAAACAAATAGAAAAAAAAAAAAAAGAGGATGTGAAAATAGATCTAAAGTGTTACCCAATATTATAAAGAAACTTTCAAAAATAGAATAATGTCAGGAATATCACTAGTTAGTCTAAATGATATAAAAACAAAAAGAAAAATATTTGATGCACTCGTCGGTGTATAGGTGCTATACACTAGTGGTGATGAGGTATGACAGACATCTCATTAAAAAGAAAATCAACATTAATTAGGTCCTTATTTGCAAAATGTATTTATTCTAAATTTAGTATATTAAAAGTTACAAAAGTTTGTGTGTATATACATATACATATATATATATATATATATATATATATATATATACATACATATATATATATATATATATATATATATATATATTTATTTATTTATTTATTTATTTATTTATTTATTGATGGGGGTTATGAAGGAGTGGACCTCTATTTATTTTTGGTTTGGGGCCAAGCTCAAAGAGGAGGGGAGGGGGGGGGGGGGTGTGAAAAGCAAGAGGCAAGGGAGGCCTAGAGAAAGGCGCGTACACAGATGATTTGACGCGTCGATCCAAATCAGTAGTCGAGTCCGAGAAGAACTGAGGATTCGATGCATCGAGCCTTAGGCTTGACGTGTTGAATAATTCCAGTAGGGTCTGGAAAGTTGGAAGTCAAAACTTGACGCGTCGAGAAGTCACAGCAGGCAACCTGGAAAATCGACGCCATAGGCTCGACGCATCGAGTCGTCGTGGGCTGGGCGAAAAGTGCAATTTCGCCAGTTTCCAAAATCGCGAGGAAAATTCCTATTTAGCCCCTAGCTTGACTCCCGCTATAAAAGGACGTCTTCCTCAACTCTTGAAGTCCTATGCTGAGTTTTGGAGACAAGAAGAAGGAGAATTGAGAGCGCTACGAATTGTCTTTGGAAGCAAGAAGAAAGCTAAGGAGATTTCGGAGAATCGCTTGGTTAATTCTTGTACTCTTTTAGATTATTTGTAAACTCTTAATTGTTGCTATGTATTACATCTTAGCCATGTGTGGCTAAGTTTTCTTAGAGATTCTTGGGTAAAAGTATTTATGAACCAATGTACCTACTTTTATGATTCTTTAATATATATATATATATATATATATATATATATATATATATATATATATATATATATATATATATATATATATATATTATTTGGGTTATAACTTGTGTTGCAATTGTGATTATATCGTTTGATGCTAGTAGTTAACAGCCGTAATTACTTGTTTCATTGCTTTCTTTGTGTCACAACGGGAGTTGGGCATAATTTAGGACACACACAATTGCACTTAACTGTTGCACCTTGGGAGAGGGCAAATATGTTATGGAGTTTGGTCCTTAGTTATTGTACAACGGGAGATGGTAGTAATTAGGGATTTATTATGAATGCTTGTTCTTATATTGTTGGGTGTTTATATTACGGGAGTGAATATTCACATAGGTTAGAGATTACGCGAGTAACTCTTCCCACTATTTGCATTCTCACACTTGTTAAACTCAGATTTTAATATTGTTCCTAAGTTTGGCACTATGTGATTAAATACTTGAATCCTAGGAATCTCATTCTTTCCCAACTATTTTCACAAACCTGCATACTTTTCTTTTATTTTAGTTTTGCAATTAATCAACTATCCATGATATTCCTTAGGATTAGCTTCACATGAATAGATTAGTAGCTATCTAGTGCTTAATACGCTAGTAGCTAGTGCTTAATACGCCCCATTTCCCTGTGGATCGATAACCCGATACTCCGGGTATTATTTGTTTGTCAATTATACTGCAAGTCTACAATCATTAACCCTTTTTCAGGTCATGAAAAGGAGGGTAGGCTTCACATGGACGGCCAAATGCCAGGAAGCATTTGACCATTTCAAAGCTTACTTAGCCTCAGCCCGTCCTGTCCAAACCGGAGAAAGGTGAGGTCTTGTATGTCTACATGGGATAGCTCCAGCGGTTGTGAGTTCAGTCCTCCTACGAGAGGAGGATGACATCCAAAAACTCATCTACTATGCCAGTCGGGCCCTACACGACGCAGAATTGAGGTACATCCCTTTGGAGAATTCGAACAGTTAAAAAATTGGCATATTACTTTCAAGCCCACTATGTTGTGGTCTTGACGGATCAGCCCCTCAGATCGGTCATGAGGAACCTCGTATCGTCTAGGAGAATGGTAAAATGGGCCATCGAGCTCACCCAGTACAGCCTTGAATACAGACCCCAAACGACCATCAAAGGACAAGCCTTGGCAGACTTCATAGTGGAATGCACGGTTCCCAAGAACCTAGAGGAAGGGGGGAGGGGGACTAAGGTTACCCCCACGAGAATGGGAAATGTTCACCGACGGAGCCTCTAGTGGGAAAGGTTGCGGCGGAGGCGTAGTGTTAGTATCACCTAAGGGGTTCAAGATATACCGGGCATTCCTCTTCAATTTTCAGTTGTCTAATAACGAAGCGGAATATGAGGCTCTAATTAGGAGGACTGAAGCTCACGAAAACACTATCAGCGCGCCGCCTGAGGATCAGGTCTGATTGCTGGTTAGTAGTAGGGTAGGTTAACAATCTGTTCGAAACCAAGGAAAACCGGATGAGGAAATACAAGGAGGTGGTGGTGCAACTAATTGCGGGGTTGGAACAGTGAGAATTACAGCAGATCCCGAGAATGGAAAATGAGGAAGCAGACCTTCTCTCTCGCCTAACCCAAGGGGTGGACGAACACCTCGAGTACAGTTCGAGAATAGCCTAGGTAATAGAAGTCGACAGTCCAGTATCGAAAAAGATGAGGTGTTAGCCATCCTCCCGGCTCAGGATGAATGGATGCACGAGATGCTTTTGTATAATTGTTAGGAAAATAATTGTGGCTCAAATTCATGAAGACCGTTTTCCACGTTGCATGCTTAATTACATCCTCCACTATGCACATCATCCGACTTTGGCTCTCAAAGTGTTGCTGCCGCATGTCTCCCCACGTTGCAGCTACTGCACATGTCCTTCCTTTTTTCCATGCACAATTTTCTCTTATAAATTGTATAAATAGGTTAGGCAATTGCTTTTGTAATTCACACCTCTTACATTATTCATTCAATTGATTCATTCCAATTTCCTCTCTTCTCACATACTTTTATATATATATATATATATATATATATATATATATATATATATATATATATATATATATATATATATATATATATATATATATATATTTTCCCATCCTTAATAATTCATATGTCATTTATATAGTTTTCCTTATTTCTATTA